TTATTAATTTGTAGAGAATTTATCTTTTCTGACTAATTTTGGCTTAGACTCTACTCTGTCAGATATGAGTATAATTACTTCAAATTTTGGATTCTCTTGGCTGAGAAAATTGTCATCATTTTACTTTCAGGCTTTGTATGTCTTTGCTCCAGGTGGAGGTATGTTTCTTGAATCTTCCCTTTTAAATCCTTTGATCCAGTCTGTGTCTTTTTTGAAACAGGGTCTTAGAGATCCCAGTCTGGTGTTGAACTCAACTGTATAACCTAAGAATGAGCTTAAACTTCTGATCTTCCTGCTTATACCTTTCAAGTTCTGGGCTTACAGGCATGTGGTGCTTCCACCTAGCTTATGTAGTGTTGTGGCGAGAACCCAGGGCTTTGTGCATGCCAGGCAAGTGCTATTCTACTGAGCTGTATCCCCAGCCCTAGCCTATGTCTTTTAATTGTAGAGTTATCATTGATAGTATATGGCAATTCCTCTCCTTTTTTTCTTTTGTTTGATTCAGACTCTTGTTTATTTTCCCTTGTTCATTTTAGAGATTTGCTGCTTTACTCAGATGATAATATTCTATGAAAAAAGATTGCATTTGATTATTCTTCTAGTGAGATTTATTATTTCCTGAGCTCTTGTGATTATGAATGTCTTTCTTCTTTTCTGAGAAGGGTTTAAGTATCCTCTACGGTGCTTGATGAGTTGCTATAGTTTGTACTTATCTTTGAACGTCTTTCCTCACTGAGTTTTAAGGATAGCTTTGCTGCCTGTAGTAATCTTATTCGTTGTTTACTTTAAGGACTTAAAATATATGGCTTTTAGAGTTTGTGCTGAGAAGCCAGTCTTACTCTGGTTGTTTCTGTACGTACATTGGAGCTTGTCTCTTGCAGCTTTCCATATTTTCTTTAGCTAGTACTCTTCACATTTAAATAGAGGTTTTGAAAGTTATGATCCTGATTGCTTTTTGTTTTAAATTGTTATTTAAGTATAATTCTCTTACTTGATATCCTGTGTTGCTGATGCCATTGTCTCTCATTTCAGCCATTAGAGTACATTTGGATTAGTTACTGAATTTTTAGGAATGTTTTGAGGATTTGATTACCTTGGTTTCCCACATTTCCTGTGGGTTTTTTCTTATTTCTTGTCTTTCTTTGTTGTGATTTTTGTATGTGTTGGGCTACACATCTCTTCCTTTTAGGGTGTGTGTATTTGTGTGTGTGTGTGTGTGTGTGTGTGTGTGTGTGTGTGTGTATGCACGCACATGTATGGTGGATGTGTTCACTCAGGTGTCTGTATACGTACATGCTTCTGTGAATGCTCCTGTATACATGTCTGTGGAGGTCAGGACTCAACAGTGTATGTCTTCCTCAATCTTATTTTTTAATCTTATAAAGTATTTTTATTGAGTTTTTGTGCATTTCTTATAATAGATCTTAATCAAATTTAGACCCCCCTCCCTCAAATGAACACCCATAGCTCCCCCTCCACTGTATTTCATGCATTCTGTCATTTATGTTAAGTCCTATCAAGTCAAGCATTGTACCTAGATGTCCCTCAGTGCAACTTCATCGACTGGAGTCTAGTCAGCATATCTAGGGTCACTCCCTTAAAAAAGATCTACTCTTGCTCACCTAGCAATAATCAGTTGACAATAGTTCTTCAGCTAGCATTGGGGCCTGCTACCCCATTTCCCTTGGTCTATGCTGGGTTTTTGTCTGATTGAGTATACATAGGTCTTGTGAATGCTGCCCAGTTCAAGTTGCAAGTTCATATGAGCAAGTTCCCAGTGGCCTGAAAGCCTCTGTTCCCTTATGTTCATGCACCAACCCTAGTTCTTACAGTCTTTCTGTCCCTCTCCTGTAATGGTCCCTGAGCCATGTGTGGGTGAGGTTTAATATAGGAGTCCCATCCAGAGACACATTCTTTTGTTCTCTAAAACTTAACCAGTTATGGCCTTCTGTGTGCATCACACTGTTGTATAAAGATACTTTGCTGGTGAATATTGAGTGATGAATTAGTATTCTCTCTGCCCCCTGTTCCACTATTTTCCATGAGGCTTAGGTGTTCCACTCTAGATGTGTCACTTAATACTGGGCATTCCTCAGAGATAGATTTCTGTAATAGCCTCCATCTGTTGCAAAAGAGGCTTCTTTGATGAATGGTATACAGTATACTTTGTAAATACAAGGATTCATATTTAGTATAGAGTAAGAAAATTCAATTGTCTAGAAATATGCCAGAGATTTTATTTTCTCTAGGATATGTGACCTCTCCAGCCATGTGTACTTGGCTACATTTACAGTGTCACCCATGAGTTCCCTCCAGTGAGAGGCTTTAAGTTCAATGAGATAGCTGTTGATTACCCCCTAAATAAAAGCGCCAGTGCACCAATAGAGATAGTTTGTTGTGCCAGCTGTTGTGGTTTTTAGGCTTTGGAGCTTGGTTGGATCATTGATTGATTTCCTCCCTTAGCAGCTTGAATAGGGTTCTCTAGAACTATGAGAGCTAGTCTTGGGGAGAAGGCTTCCAGCTCCATTGCTCCAAGTCCTCTGTCTGTGGTATGTTCTATCTTCAGCAGTAGAGTCTTACCTTCAAGTTCTAGGAGGTAATCAAGGACTGTGGTAATAGCCTGTGTTATTTTGGGAGTCTCTTGATCTGCCCTGACCAAGAACTTGAAGGGAGGTTTTTCCTGTCTGACACTTTGTTCCTTGTTATGTAACCTTCATGTTTACTCATACACTCATGTTTAGATATTGTAAGTATATTTTTCAGGAGTTTTTTGAGTTAATACATTTCCCTCTGGCTTTTTACACTACCTAGGTTTCATCTCTCCCTTCTCTGTTCCTTTCTAACCTCCCTCTTCCCCCCGCAGTTTAAGTGCACCCATTTACCCTTGATATTATCCGCCTCCTATTATCCCCCCTCTTAGTTCCTTCTTCCTCTTTGCCTGCATGGTTCTTTGTGTGTCCTCCTCTCCTCTCGTCCCAGTAGAATACCCCAGTAGAATACCCCGTCCCAGTAGAATATTCACCATTTCCCCCTTGGTAACATCTGTTTCCTACTATCCCCCTCTCAGGGTCTTTCTTTCCCTTTTCCTCCATGGTCCTTTTCCATTTTCCTGGCTCCTGCTGTTAAATCAGAATATATACTCAACATATGAGGCTCCTGCTGTTAAATCAGAAATATACTCAACAATGCCTCCTCTGGCATTGTATGACATGGCTTCACTTAACATGCATGTAGATAAAACACTTAAACACGTAATAAAGATTTTTTAAAAGTTCAGGCATGGTGAACTTTCATTCATTTACCGGCACCATTCATAATTTTGTTTTTCCTTACTGGTGAGTAAACTCCATTGTGTAATTATATCACATTTTCGTTATCCATTTGTAAGTTGAAGGACATTTAGGTTGTTTCCATTTCTTAACTATTGTGAAACAAATAGCAATAAACATGGATGTACAGGTATCTCTACAGTAGGATAAGTTCTTTGGTTATATGCCAAGGAGTAGTATAACCAGATCATATGGTAGATTCATTTTTAGTTTTATTTTTAAGAGTTCTCCACACTTCTTTCCATAGTGGTTGTATGCATTTGCATTCCCACCAGCAGTGAATGAGCGTTGCCCTTTCTCCACATCCTCATCATCATTTGGTGTCTTTTGTTCTCTTGATCTTAGCCAGTCTGACCAGGGTAAGATGAAATCTTAAGATGGTTTTGATCTGCATGTCTCTAATTACTAAGGATGTTGAGCACTTTTTAAGGTGTTTCTTGGCCATTTTTTATTTCTTCATTTGAGAACTTTCCAGGTCCTTAGCCCGTCTTTTTTTTGGGTCATTTATTTTCTTGTTTTTTGAGTTCTTTGTATATTCTGGATATTCATCCTCTGTCAGTTTTGTCACTGGTAAAGATTTTATTCCACTTAGTGGGTTTCCTCTTCACTTCCTTGGTTGTTTCTTTTGCTATATAGAAACTTTTAAGTTTAATGAGGTCCCCCTTGTTGATTGTTGACCTTAATGCCTGAGCAACTGGAGTCCGATTTAGAAAGTCCTTTCCTATACCTATATCTCTTAGGTTACCGCCTATGTTTTCTTCTAGCAGTTTCAGAGTTTCAGATTTCATATGGAGGTCTTTGATCCATTTGGAATTAACTTTTGTGCAGGATGAAAGATAAGGGTCATTCTTCTACAGTTGGAGATCCAGTTTTGCCAGCACCATTTGTTAAAGATGCTGTCTTTGCTCCATTGTATGTTCTTGGCACCTCTGTCAAATATTAGGTGGCCGAGATTGCATGCACTCATGTTTAGGTCTTCTGTTGTGTTCCATTGTTTTTGTGCCAATACCATGCTGTTTTTATGACTATAGCTCTGTAATATAGTTTTCAGGGTTCGGTTCCCAGCACCCACATGGCAGCTCACAACCACGTGTAACATCTCCAGGGGATCCATCACACTTTTCTGGCCTCCTCTGGCATTGCATGACATGGCTGCACCTAACATACATGTAGATAAAACACCTAAACACATAATAAAGATTTTTTTAAAAGTTCAGGCATGGTGACACATGCCTTTTTTTTTTTTGTCTTTTTGAGACAGGGTCTCCCTGTAGCCCCAGCTGCTGTCCTGGAACTCACTATGTACCTTTTTAAAAAAGTCTCATTAGAGTAGTATGGAAATACCTAATTGAATGTGCTTCATTTATATATTTACAAATTTCATTCAGTTAGACAAAACTTTATAAAAATGGTCTGTATAAAATATTGAACTGTTATTTTCAATGTAGACAATATTTCCAGTGGTACCTTCCTAAACTAGTTCTTGGTAAAGCCTATGGGTTTGTCATATATACTGGCTTATTATTTTGAGGTCAGTTCTCAGGGGGAAAATCTCAGTTATTTTTTCCTGTGCTTCACTGCTAATTTATATTTTGTGTCATTTTTAATTTCTTATTTTTATAGTGTGTCCTAGAATTAATTTGATTCTGACTTTCTTTGTTCTTACTGAAGGTAAACGAGATTGCCTTTATAAATACCCTTGAAGCACAGAATAAACGCCATGATGTTTTATCAAAATTGAAGGAATATGAGCAGAGACTTAATGAATTACAGGAAGAGCGTCAGAGAAGGCAAGAAGAAAAGCAAGCTCGTGATGAAGCTGTGCAGGTAGGATTTTATTCAGCAAGCATTTATTGAGCACCTTTCAATCCATAGGCTCTGAGTAGGTGCTGGCAAACCCAAACAGAAGTAAAATGTGGTTTCTGTGTCCAAAGGTACATGAAGAACTGCATCCTTGTAGGGAAACAAAGTCTCATTGCCAAAAGGCACTGTTGACACCTTCAGACAAGGTAGCCAGTGCTTTAGTCTGTGGGTGGTAGTCATGGAAACAGACTCTCTAATGTTAACTCAACGACAGACCTGCTATGTCCCATTATCATCTATTCATTTCTCATTGGTTTTGGCAAGAATGTTTCCTTCTTCTCCTGATCCAAAAATAATGTTATTGGAATAATAAAGAGTTAGTCATTTTGCTCATAACAGGGGCAGGTATCATTTATTGAGTAGTATCATCAGATAACTGAACTTTTAATTTCTGCAGCATACCAATAATTAGTTTTTAACTTCTATAGCTACCATTTTCATGATGGGAAGAAAGATTAGGGGATAAATTTTCCTACTCTGAATATTCTATTTTAGCATGTTTTTAGTAAAATGTCTTGCCTGTAGAGTCTCTTAGGACCTAAAATTTTTGGTACAGCAAACAAATTTGCAATGTTTAAACATGCAAGGAGACTTACTGTAGCTGTTGTAACTGCTTTTAGATGCTTTTACATCTGGTGATCACTTGAGTTTCTACATGCAAGCCTTTTGCAAGGCTTGGAAGTTGTGAAAAATGTGTATCTTTTTCTCAGGAGGAGCACATGTAAATGAACAAATATCAACTCATTAGGATGGAGGCTACAGTAAAGGCACTCTTTAAAAATGTTTTTTTCATTTATTTATGTGGGGGAGGGGGAAAAGGAGGCACCACATTGCTCAAGGAGAGGTCTGCAGACAGTTTGAGGAAGTTGTTTCTCGCCTTCCACCATGTGGGTTTCAAGGACTGAACTCAGGTCATGAGTCTTCGCAACAAGCACCTTTACCTACCGATCCTTCTTGCTGACTCTAGTAAAGGCATTCTTACAGCAAGGAGAGCACTTTTCCCCCTGAGAGTGAGGAAGACGTGACAAATCAGTACAGATTTCCTGGAGGAGATGATTCTTCAGTGACTATTTTAAAAATGAGACTGTACAAAGTATGTGGTGTAGTGCTATAGGTCCTTCTATGCAGGAGATAGGAAGGCAGAGAGTTAGGGCAGACTATAGAAAGTCTTCCTGTTCTGGTGAATATTGGAAGAGTAATATTTTAAGTTTCTTCACGCCACAGTGTTTTTAGGAAATTGAAGAATTAATGCATTTTAAGTTTCTTTTTTTTGTGTGTGCTGTTAACAGGAATTCCCATATTCATCCCTGATTTCTATTTGATTTGAATCCAATGTCTTATTTTTAATAAATGTCAAGGTAATTTTTATATAAAACTGTAG